CATGATTAAAGAAACGTCACACACTCCGAATGACTTTTCTAATTATTTTTAGGGAGAATCTTAACTAGAATCCAGAAAACCCGATTATTTGAAAAAAATACATGTTATAACGAAAATGAAAAGGACAGTTCTTCACCAGCGCTAAAATGCAGTGTCTGGTTATAAGGACAAGTCGAAACACTGGCTCAATGTTATACGTATACGAGTATATTACGAAACTCGCATACCCGTTCAAATAAGAAATCAGAGGACGAAGTTTTGATTATTGAATTATAGCAAGTTGCTACCAAATGCCTCGTGATCTATAAAATCTTTGACATTTTTTCATAAGCAAAGCAGTGGAAAAACCTATCTGAGGAAAAAATTTCTCGAAACCTCGAATTCAGTTCTGAAAGTAACTTCGTGAAGATCAGTGGGTTTCCTGAAGTATGTACTAATTTCTTCAGGACATTTCAACACTAACACAATAATAAAATGAACTCGCGTAGGACGAAACTGTAATAACAAATCCATCAATTCATTAATAGTCCTTATTAACCGTACGACCATGTGGTAAGAACTCCTAATGCACAACGTCACGGTAATCGAAGAAAACAGTGAGACTCTTGGGAGTCTTTGGCTCTCCTGGGATTTTCCATTGGAACAATTGGACTTCGGTTTCGATGTTATAACCACATATACCTATGATTTGTCACCAGTTATAGTCGTTTCAAGCAAATTTGGATCGCCGCTGACGTCATTCAATAGTTCCTGAGCGATACTCATGCGACGTTTTGTTTTTTGGTCAAAATTCAACGATTTTGGAACGAACTTCGCTGCCACACGCTACATGCCCATGCTTTCCGAAACAATTGTATGGCATTAGCCAACCTATATGACGGCATCCCATCAGTAACTTCTCTAAAACTGATTCGACGATTCCCCATAGGTTGGGTTAGATCAAAAATGAAAAGACCTATTCGACCGTCCACCGCAACCCACACGGTTTTATTGTGGCTCACACCTATTCAAACTCGACAAAATAAACCCAGCTTCTTGACGAAGCCGATTAGTTTGTGTGGTGAGTGATATTTCAGGTCATATGGTAGATGTGTGGTTCTACCAAACTCTAAAAACCTGATTCGGTCCGCAGCGGGGCAGGCACAAAGTATATGCTCTGCTGTTTCATCATTTTCCAAACAGAGGCGACAACGCACACTGCCTTCCGACAGTCAAAATCTCTACATATGATGATTCAGACGACAGTGATCTGTAAGGAGGCCTGTTAGACATCCTGGAAGATTTGCCATCCAGGTGTTCAGTGTTTGTTTGGCAAAACCTAAAGCAATGCCAATGACAGATTCTGGTCCGATGAAGCTACTTGCAGCAAAAGGGAGTTAGCAGCCTCATTTCCTTCAGGCCAGTAATCCAGACCAGAGGCAATTTGTTAAGTCTTCCTATTGATGAGAGTCGTTTTTGGCAATTTGGTACCAACTTAGACGTTGCTTGGTAGGAGCTAGGCAAGAGCTTCCTATGCAATGACTTGTGTGTGAGTTTGGATTCTACCAATCTCTCCAGACACAATTCAATAGCATAGATTTTCGCTTGAAATACAGTCGCATAGGTACCTAGGCAGGTTGACATATCTGTCCTGGGTCTGCAACTGAAAACACCTGCACCAGAGCCCGAAGGCGTTTTTGATCCATCTGTCAACCAACAAGTATCTGCTTTCAAAATTTCCTTCTCCCGGAGGATCCAGTCCTCTCTACTCGGGAACTGTACTTTATAAGGCAGTTCGTAATTGATAGTTGGAGGCATAAAGTCAGAAGTCATTCCCAAAATGCTGTGACTTCCAGTGTCAACCAGCAGTCTGTTGTACTTTTTCCCCAGAAAAATGTGGAGAGGAGGTGGTTCTATAAGGATCTGCTCGGCCGCTGACGGTGTGGTACTAATAGCACCACAGATAGTCAGACAAGCCTGTCTCTGTAAACCCAGAGAGCTTCGCTGGAGCCGCTTTCTGTAAAGCCTTCGACCACCAGGCAATTGCCCCATAAGTGATCATTGGTCTGACAATCATCACTTATATCCAATGGATTTGTTTGGGACCTAAACCCCAAGTTTTACCACAAATCTTTCGACATCTCCATGGGGACAGTCTGGATTTGTGTAAAACTTTTTCCAAATGAGCGTTCCAGATGAGTTTTTTATCAAAGACAATACCAAGATATTTCGCCTCCGTTCCAAATGGAATAACCTCATCATTGAGGGAAAGTGCATAAGTGCATAAGCTTGCAGATCTACTTCTCTTCTAACGAAGGCATCAAGCAGACCATTCATCAAGAGCGATCACAGTAGGGAAGATAGTACCCCACCTTGAGGGCAGCCCCTGGTGACCCTGAATCTAATGGCCTCGTCTTGAAGAGTCGTAGTTGTAGTTCTGTTTACCAGCATGGCATAAATCCATCAAGTTATGGTCGATTCTATGCCTTTTTCAGCCAGTGTTGATCCTATAGATTTATGTAGTGTATTGTCAAATGCTCCTTCAATATAGATAAATACGCAATCGCAATATTCTTGTTGTCAAGGGATTGGGAAAATTTATCTACAAGATTGTTTATTGCTGAATCTGTCGATTTGCCGGTTTGATATGCATTCTGGTAGTTATTCATATTCCCCATAACAATTATCTTCACTTTCTCAACATTGTCATCGGTTGTTGTGCTGGGGCGTGCGTCGTCTTTCACATCTTCTCGACCTTTTGTGGAAAGCTTGTACGACTCGTAAACATTTTTCTGACTCAGAGTACAATCACCGTATGCCACTGTCAACATCTCAAGTATTTTTGAGCACTGCATACCATTTTTCACACAAAATTTGATGCAAATTCTTTGATCCATTTTTTCGATAGCATATGCACACACGCATACTTTCAACTTTTATGCATCAAACAAACTGAACATGCTAAACAGCTGAAACTGAACTTATATTCGAGACGAGTGTACCAACATAAAAAAATAATAAAAAAACCGCCAATCAAATGTACGTAGCCCGCGAAATTTAAACATTCACCTTATTTTTTGAACAGCCCACGTATATTGTATCCACTTTTTCCAAATCAATCGAGGTATACTTGGCATATAACATCAAATTTTTTTGTTCATTTTACTTATTGCTTTTTTGTATCTTGAAAACACTCACACACTCACTACCCCCCCTCTAAAGAATAATACAGTAACGTGTCCCAGCATGAAAATTAGCAAAGTAGAAGGTTCTAGATATATTGAAGTTACAATACTTGATCAATATCATCAAACTATAACAGTCCTGATTCAGCTTCTTGAAATCGATGTTGTTTTCGCATGTAAATGTCTCAATTTTGAAAATTCCAAGGGATTTAATATGTGAAGCAACTGGTAATCTTTATTGGCATAACTCAATGTAATCATGGGTTTCAAGTGATTTCTCAGGGTTAAGTACTAGCCTAGTATTTGTAAACCAGTTCCTAACATCTCTCATCATTTCACTGGAGACATTCATAAGATCTGGAAAGCAACCAGCTGCGAATACTACGATCGTTTAATTTTTGTCAGTAAGCGCAGCCCTGAGGAACACCACTGTACATAGTTACCTGTTCTCACGTTCTTGATTGTGATCTTTCTTTCCTCGAAGGTAAGATTTAAAGCACTTTAGGGGGATACCTCGTACCCCACAGGTTTCTAACATCATTTCAAGTATATCAAAGTTTATACAGTCAAATGCCTTAGATATCAGGCCTTCTTAAAACATGGGTCGCAACCTCAAATGGGGTCACGAGAGATTTGAATGTCAAATATTTAAATACACGATTTTATAACATCTAGATGTGTATTCGTGCAGAGTCACACTCGCAGAATGGAAAAATTGCTATGGAATATGGACATATGGTGCAAGAGCGATGAAGGACAAAAATATTGGTTTTAAATCATTTTTTCATGCTGCTCATTATGATCATATAACTTTCACTTACTGCCTTATTCACCGAGATGCCTTTGCAGCAAAAAAAATAGCACCAGAATTGAACGATGCGCTTCAGGATGCTGTTAAGATTATAAATTTTATTAAGAGCCATACCCTTAACAGCCGTTTATTTTCAAATCTCTGTGAGGATACGAATTCCAACTACACAACTTTATTATTACATGCAGAAGTACGATGGTTGTCAAGAGGTCAAAGTTTAAGTAGATTGTTATTAAAGGCGAAATCGAAATTTTTTAACCAAACGAAAATGTAAACTTGCTGCTTTTTTTTTAAATGACTAATGTCTATCCAAGGTGTGTTATTCATCAGATATCTTTGTGAAATTAAACAATTTCTCAACCTGTCTCTTCAAGGAAAAATTGCGATATATTTACTTCGAATGATAAAATTGAAAGTTTTATTATTAAAAAGATCGATATTTGGAAAAGTGGGGTAAAAAAAAGCGTTTGAAATGTTTTCCAGTGTCGACAATTTAATAACCGTTAGAAACACAGTTCTGTACATATTTAAAGTTAAATATTGGTTTCAAAAGGGAAGCTTGGATTCAAAAGCCGTTTTGGATTGGCTTAAATGAGACTGACCATCTGCTCAAACTTAAAACTACAATCACCAAAAAATCCCTTGACTGAATTCTGGATCGGAACTAGAACTGAATTCCCAACAATCGCTGATATGGCGTTAAATGTTCTTCTGCCATTCAACAACACATATTTATGTGAAGTTACTTTATCAGCTTCAACACATAATAAATCCCAATATCGTTCATCGCTAAAAAATGTTAGGTCTTACGTCCAGCAGTGACAAATATTCCACCAAGATTTAATTTGTTATTAAGCATTAAAAAAACAGGCACATTCATCTCATTGAGTATATATATATATAAAGCGATGGGTAGTCTTGACTGACTAGTTAAGGAGAAATACGTTATTTCAAAAATGCAACTAAGCACATCTGTAACAATATCAGAGTTCAAAGACAGAAAAAGTGAACATAAAAATTGCTACTTCCGTTAATCAAATATTTAATGTGTTTGAACTACCAAGGGATTTCCTATACAATATGTTTCACTTGTAGGTATATGTGAGAGTTCAGTGTGGAGGATTGAATGATGAAGATTTTCCATATTTCTGCTCCCACAATTTCACATATTCCTTCTTTCTTTCCTCTCGTCGAGCGAAATACTCAGGATATTGAGCTTTTTCTAGAGGGTGCCAGTAGTCTACTACCCAGTCTGGAGGGGTAACTACCCTTCCAAAAGCCACACCCCCAGGAGACTCAGGGACTGAAAGGAATGCATTGAAAATATAAGTAAAATTAAAAATAAATAAAATTATCTGATTCAATTTTTTGAAGTAGTATCAGAATAAAATTAAAGTATATATAAGCAAAGTAAGATATTTCATTCTAATCAATATTTTCTAAGATGAAAATCCTCTTTTTTAAAGGTAAAATTCATAAAGGCAAAGTATTTTGAAATATTCATTTGGTGAAATCTCCTGAATATAATATATCAATATGATATAGGTGAGGTTGGGTAAATATTTGGAACAAAGGGGAAAAATTAGTGTACACTCTAAATATATTTGAGTTAAATGAAGATGTACTTGGGTTACATTATATTCTATTCACTAGAACAAATCCATCAAAGGACTGATACAAACTATATAGTACTGAAAACAAGATTGTTGGAATCAGTAAAGAAACAGCTCTCAATTTAATGAAAAATTCTTGAAAATACAGTTGGTTGACAACAGGATACATGTGTGTCATCAATTTGTGCATTCAATATGAGTAGACAAATTAATTAAAATGAAACAATATGGGGTTACTGCCATGTTACGATTTTGGGTCATTTTCATAAAATACGTCAACACTTTATTGATTATTTTTTGAGAACATATGATGTCTGTTGAAAAAAATAAGGTCAATTTTAATTTTCCTCAAAAAATACTTGTTTATTGATTATTTTCTATTTGTCCCCTTCAAAGTAGTAACCCTCAGATATAATACACTTGTGACAGCGTTTTTTCCAATCCTCCAAGTAGGATTGATATGTTCTTTTTGGTATATCCTTGAGCTCTCTGCGATCTCAATCGTGGCAAAACGCTGTCTTTTCATTGGTCTCTTCAATCTTGGTTACAGGAAAAAGTCGCAGGCGGCAAATATGGTGAATACAGTGGCTGAGGCATGATTTTGGTGTTGTTTTTGGTAAAAAATTTTCGAACAGGCAATGACGACTGAACAGGTACATTATCGTACATATAGGTACATTTCCATAATACCGGAAGTTTTCTTCGTATTGCTTCTCGCAATCGGCGCATAATAAATTGATAATGCACTACACCACGGTATTCGAAGAAAACATTGAGCAAAACTTCGACATTTGATCGAATTTGGCATGCTTTTTTTGATCTTAGCTCTCCTGGGCTNATGCCACTGTCAACATTTGAAATGTTTTTGAGCATCTAATTCCATTTTTTACACAAAATTTTATGCAAATTATTTGATCCATTTTTTCGATAGCAGAAAATTGCCGAACACAAAACACTTCTAACTTTTATGCCTCTCACCAACAAATTCAATATGCTGAAACTGTGAACATACGTTCGAGACCAGTGTACCAACATAAAAAATCGCTAATTGAGAAATTTGAACATTCACCTAATTTTTTTAACAGACCTCGTATATTATTTTCCATTTTTCAACTACGATATCTGGTAAATCAAATATTCCAGTCTGTGGAACATTAGACAAAGCCATTACTATTCTAAAGTTGAAATTTATAATTACAGTATAATATTGTCTTGCAATGAAACGTGAAATATCCACAGTCTATTATTTGTTTAGTATAATAAAATGAATCCATAAACTACATGTGAGCAATGTAAACTGTCAGAATAGTAATACATTATCAATTGGTCTGAAAATCTAATATATCAATCTCATCATATGTTTTCAAAATCAAATCACTCAGTACATCAAAACCTACTTTATTGTCTTGCTTCATACTTTGTTTGATATTCAATCAATAATTTTGGAATGCAGTAAACCAAGTCGATTATTGTCCATATTCAAAAGTCAGCAATAATTTTTTTTGGAGAACTGAGTGGAGTGGTTGGAGGTGTACGTAAAGTAAACAACCTCGTAAAAAATTCGACAATTGACACATCTCCTTGAATAAAAATAGCCCCAATAATGTAAGTACCATTTTCTATTATTGTACTCATTTCATTTATATAATTAGTGAAAAGCAATACCTGTTTTGTCAAAGAAAGATAAGCTAGATGTTACTTATTACATAGGTATTTTATGGATGATGCATGAGAATGCACTTCTCGACCCAACTGAGTACTGTCCGTTTTAGACAAATTATTGAAAATCTATCAAAATTATTTTCTTTTCCAAACTGTCACCAATACTGCCAACGATAATAAGGAATAAGCTTCTAGTGTTAAAATTGTGACGCCTGGATTTGAGCCGAAGATAAAAGTTGTTTAACTATTTTTTTTGAAAACTTTGCATTTATTTATACTCCTATTATGAAATGTCCGAAAGAAGGTTTGACTGAAAAAGATCACCTCAGTAAGTAATAACTAGAAAATGTTATCTGAAACAATATTTTCATCAAGATTCTCGGCTATTTCTGACAAATTATATTGAAATATCTGTTGAAATGAAAAAACCTCATGTCTGGACTGGCATGATTGAAAATCAAACACTATACAATTCGATGAATGAGATTCATTTAGTGATGGTCTTACATTTCCGTGGGTGCCAATGTTCATTTTTAAACAGTTCTTCCTCTCCCTTTGCTATAAGTTCTTTTGCAATTCTGGTGTCAGTTATATTTTTATTGTCATCAAATCTTTTTCTCATCAAAACTGCATGATACCTAAAGACTTCTCTGAAATAAAAACCATTACATAATCTGGAGTGTAATCAAAATCAAAATATAGATCACCTTCTGTCGTACCAATCTTCTAAAGATCTCACGGCTCGCTTATATAAGCTCTGTACCTTTCGTGTATGGCTAATTAGTCCAGTTAGTGAACCAGACATCTTTGAAATTTCAATTCTATTTAATTTTATTTCAATGACGTTCTTCTAACCTATAAATTACAGCTGCTTTCGATTTGAAGTTTAAAGCACCGGACAGTATTGCCAGATAAATTTTTTTTATCTCATGACAATTTGGACGACTTCTGAAATTCACGACGATTT